TGTGTGGTGGGAGGAGGCGGGCCCGGGCGGCCCGGCCCGGGGAGGGGGGCCTCCGTCACCTCCCCTCCCTTCCCCGGCGGACAGGCACGTCCCTTTTTAGGGAATTCTTTTGCTCTCTCTGACTACAGTGCGGGTGGGGCCAGGAGGGCGCTCTCCTTTTCGCTGGTCCCCAGCCGGGCCCCTGGCAGCCTCCTGCCCCCAAATCTCTTCACCCCTCTCCCAGCACCTTTAGTGGGGTAAACAACTCCCTTCTTCTCTCCAGCACTCGGCTCTGCGGGGGCCCCGGGCGGGCAGCTCCTTCAGTCTTGTGAGATTGATGGGGTTGGGGGAAGGGGGAAGAGGGGGCGCCCGGAGCCCCTGGTCCCTGTCACTTCCTACCCTCTGACTTGCCCTCCCCCAACCGCTGCTAAAGCAGTCAGCCTCAGGGGCCCGGGTATTTTTAGCGTTGTGACCTGGGCCGCAGATCTAAGCCTTTCCCAGGAATCAGCGTCAGCGCCTTCCTCCTCCACGGCCAGCCCAGCCCAGCCCGCGGCCACAAGGTCTCCCCACACTTCCTTGGCCCTGCCGGGTCCACTGGGTTTGGGTCCCTCTCGGCCATCCCAGCGCTTGTTGAGCTGACCAGGGTCTTGAATATGCTTGAATACAAACGAGGTGGGGGAGGTTGTCTGCGGAGGGGGATGATCTGGTCCTCAGGTTAGATACTACTCCCTTGCCTCTGGCGATGGGCTCTGAGCCGAATGCCTGGAAGGAGATTGAGCGAATGCACAGGGCCTGGGCTGGCCCAGAGCTCTGGTGTTCCGGAAAGCTCTCAGCACTGGGGGCTTGGTCTGAATTGGACCCAGGACCTGCCCTTCCAATTGCTACTCACTGACTAGTGGGAAGATTACAGTGAGATGTGTCAGTGGAGACATCAGTGCAAATGAGAGCTGTGGGAGTGCAGAGACAGCTTTACATTTTACAGAGCACCCTCGCAAGCAGTGCCTCGTGTCTGAGGCAGGTAGGATGATTATGCCATTTTCAGTGGGGGGACTGAGGCTAGAAAGATGATGACCTTAGGCAAAGAGCCAAGTCTGGAAGTCAGGTCTTTGACTTCAGAGCAGGGTAGGGAGGGAATGGAAGTGGAGGTGATGGGGTATGTGAGTGTAGAGCGAGGGAGAGGAGGGGAGAGGGCACTTTAACTTTAGTCTGGGTTTTGAAGAATGGGCAGGAACCACACCACTAGAGGAAGAGGACCTTCCATCCTGAGATCTCTGTCATATCCTCTTCCCTGGCCTCGGCGGACAGGCAGGTGGAGGCATGAGTGGATAAAATGCCTCCCCTATTTGGGGATGGCATGATTCTGAGACTTGGCCATTGGCCCTGTCCATCTCCTGAACACAGAGGAGCCTCTCTGGCCGTGCCTGGAACTGGCATCCCCTTTGTGGAGCTAGGTCAGCCCCGCCTTTGTATGAGGCTTGAAGTTTGTGGTAATGGACTTTGCTTTAGGGAAAGGGAAGGAGGAAGCCACAGCCAGAGGTGTCCGGGCTGGAACCAGAGGCCCCTCTGCTGGCTGCTGGCTGCAGTGGGACTCCCCAAACTCAAGACCCCACTGCATTGTCTCTCAATTCCATAGCTTCGTCTTCTACCTCCAGGAGCTGACATGGACCCAAATCCTCGGGCGTCCCTGGAGCGCCAGCAGCTCCGCTTGCGGGAGCGGCAGAAATTCTTTGAGGACATTTTACAGCCAGAGACAGAGTTTGTCTTCCCCCTGTCCCACTTCCATCTCGAGGCACAGAGACGTAAGTCCTGGGAGAGGGCTGGAATAGGGAGCAAGTCTTATAGATCCAGAATCCTGGGGGCCCCTCCCCTCTTATTTTCGTGGCCCTCTGAACTTCTGTCTCTGGACCTGACAGATATCTCTGACCATCCTCTTGGCTCCAGCCTGGGTCCTCCTGACTTGTCCTCTTTTTGATCTGCAGCCCCCATAGGTAGTATCTCATCCATGGAAGTGAATGTGGACACACTGGAGCAAGTGGAACTTATTGACCTTGGGGACCAGGACGGAGCAGACGTGTTCTTGCCTTGTGAAGATCCTCCATCAACGCCCCAGACATCTGGTATGCTACTGTGCTGAGACTTGGGCACCAGTTAGCCAGAACCGGATGTTGGGGCTCTGAAGTGTAGGGACAAGACTGGGGAAGTATACCCGTAGGGGCTGGAAGGGGCGTTTCCACCAATGAAACAGTTGTCTGTTCTGATTTTAGGGAAGTTGACCAGAAGGGCAACTGTGTTACAGATCCCCAATCCAGAATTCTAGGAATGCCCAACCCCCACTTAGCCTTGTTGATTTTATATTTGTAAAATTAATATAATTAAAATTATGTAAAAATGGAATTTTTACATTAGAGAACTTAAGCAGTTTTAGGTCATCCTAATAATATAGTATTTATTGAGCACTTTATTAAGTTTCTAATACTGTGTTAAAATGCTCTACATATATTATCTCAATCCTCACAAAAGTCCTATTAGGTAGGTAGTATTATCTCCATTTTATAAAGAAGGATATTAGACTCAGAGAAGTTGTCACATAGTCAGAAAGTAGAAAAGCTGGGTCCAGACCATGGCTTTCTGACTCCAATGGCTTTCTGAGCCCATACACTTAACTTATTAATTGCTGCTATTAATTGCTAGCCTATTACTATGTGCCAGACATTTTATAAGCATTATTATATTTCATCCTCAAAACTCTTCTGGAATGGAGGAATCCCTTTTTGTACAGAGAAGGAGCAGAGTCCTTGAGAGGAAAGGTGACTTTCCCAAAGACACTAAGTAAGTAAGTGACATAGGTAGAACTTGAAATCTTGAATTGATTGACTTGACTCTAGAGCCCAGATGTGATCCCAGAAGTAGAAGGAGGTGGGAGTCAGGAGACCTGGCTCTTCACTGGACTGGCTAAGTGACTTTGGACAAGTCCCTGTCCCGGCTTCAGTCTCTCCTGAGCAGATCATCCCTGAGAGTCCTCGAAGCCCTGTTTGTGGCCCTGACCAGCTCTTGTCTCTGGACAGGGGTGGACGACCATCCAGAGGAGCTGCGCCTGCCGATGCACATGCCAGACAGGACCACATCCCGTACTTCCTCCTCGTCTTCTGACTCCTCCACCAACCTGCACAGCCCAAATCCCAGTGTCGGCGGAGCAGACACTCCCTTGGCACAGTCTGACGAGGAGGATGGGGATGAGGGAGGGGCAGAGCCTGGAGCCTCCAGCTAGCAGTGGGCCCCGACCTATGGACTGACTGAGCTGGCTATTCTCCACCTGAGACCCTAGGCCCAGCCAGAGCTCTTCCGGGAAAACCAGACTCTACTTGTAGTAGGCACCAGAGGGAGGAAAGGAAGGTGGGATGGTGTCTCTCCTTGGGCGTTTGTTTTACTGCTAACCTTTTCCTGCTGCAACGTTCCCACTAGTGCTTGGCTTACTCCTGAGGTAGAGCTTGCAAGCAACGAGATGGAAATGAGGTGGGACAAGATGCCACTGCTTTTCTTAGCACTCCTCCCCCAAACTACCCTGGCAGTCTTCTAACAGAGTCTCCTACACCACTGTCTCTAAATGGACATGAACTCTTCAGCACTCAAGTGAGGTGGTACTCCAGCCATCCTGCTTCCTTATGTCCTTTTTTTGAATAGGGCATGGTATAAATAATAAACAAATGATAACATACCAACCATTCCACTTCATTTTTCACATTGCAACGGTGTCAAATCCAGTGTATTTGTTTAGCTCTGTAACCAACACCATATCCCCCTCACTCATTTGTTTCATTTATTCTAGAAATATTTATTGCACACCTGTGCTGGGCATTTAGAATACAGTTTTGAATAAGACAGGCTGTATCCCTGTCTCCATGGGGTTTGCTGTTTCTAGAGGAGGAGATAAAGTAAATACCAGAGTTCACAGTGCAATAAGTAGCATGACAAGGAAGTACTCTGGTATCAGAAAACGGGCATCTTACCTGGCTTGTATGGTTGTTGAAGAGCTGATTTTGAAGCCGAAATCCAAAGGGTGAGTAGGAGTTAGCTAGTTGGGGGCTGTATTCCAGGCAGAAAGAGCAGCTTGGGAAGACTCTAAATGGAGGGAAATCGCTGTGAGGAACTGGAAAACATTCAGCTTGCCTGAACTGTTGAACTTGAGGAGGAGGTGAAGGGAGAGGTAAGATTGACAATGATCCAGTCATAAAATGCTCAGAAGCCTGTATCCAGTTTCAGTTTGACTGCTAGGAAAATATCTGTAGCTTAAGATACAGATTTATGTCCTCATCTTAAGTCCAAAGTACAGGGCTATCTGACCGTTCCTTAGTGGGCACCAGGGACCTGTTTAGCTCTTTTGCTCAGCCATCCCAGGCATGTGGCTCGAATTCTCATTGATACTTCATGTCTAGGATGACTGTTGAAGCCCCACCATCATATCCTTGAAACTGGCAGAAAGCAAGAGGAGAAATTGGAGAGGGGCAAAGCACACCCAGCAGTCCAGTCCCACATCAAGAAGCATTTTTGGAAGTTCTATTCATTTTGATCTCATTGGCCAGCACTTGCTAACATGAGAAATGCTTTATGTATGGACATTGTACAGGCATAGGGACATGGCACTGTCTAGAAGAAAGGAAATTCTGACCATTGGAAGGACAATTACCCTTTCAAGTCACTAGATTACCAATGCATCTGATTGCTTTTCTACCCCTCAAACCTCTCAGAAGCTCGCTGGTTACTGGGAAGGCTGGGATAGTTCTTTAGTAGGGCACACTGGTATCTTGATAAAATCAGGGTTATATTACTAAGAAACAAGAGGACAGCAGTCTTTGGATAGGTAACTAGCAGTTTACATGTTAGAGGCCACGTTAATGAATTTGAACTCTATTGGGAGTAATGAAATGATACGAGTGGTAAAATTTGCTTGTTAAAAGGATATTCTGGCTGCAGTATAGAAAATATATTGGAGGAGAACAGGGTCAAGAGAGACATATAACAACACAATAATCCATGCATGACATAACTGTGGCCCAGACGATTGTGGTGATGATAAGCTTAACTGGGTATAAACAAATGACACTCGTTCAGTAAATATTAGATGTCAGTGTGGAACATGTGCAAGACATTGAGCATGGGCCTTAGGAATGTAGTGGCAAAAAGACACAGTCCTGCCCTAACCGGTTTGGCTCAGTGGATAGAGCGTCGGCCTGTGGACTGAAGGGTCCCAGGTTCGATTCTGGTCGAGGCATGTACCTTGGTTGCAAGCACATCCCCAGTAGCAGGTGTGCAAGAGGCAGCTGATCAATGTTTCTAACGCTCTATCCCTCTCCCTTCCTCTCTGTAAAAAAAAATCAATAAAATATATTTTAAAAAAAAAGAATGAAGCCCAATCTAAAAAAAAAAAAAAAGACACAGTCCTGCTGTTACAGAGTTTAGAGTTTCGAGGAGTCCAAGTGTAAAATGAGCACATCCCCATTAGCAGGTGTGCAAGAGGCAGCTGATCAATGTTTCTAACGCTCTATCCCTCTCCCTTCCTCTCTGTAAAAAAAAATCAATAAAATATATTTTAAAAAAAAAGAATGAAGCCCAATCTAAAAAAAAAAAAAAAGACACAGTCCTGCTGTTACAGAGTTTAGAGTTTCGAGGAGTCCAAGTGTAAAATTGCAACTTGGGTTCTAGACAGGAGTTAATAACCTATTCAGAGAGGCCACTAGGTGTTTCCCTTGAGGAAGTGGCATTTGAGCTGAGATCTGAAAGATGAGTAGGAGTAAACTAGGGGAAGAATGGCTAGAAGGGCTCCTTATGGAGTACTGATGGGAGAGGACCAAAGTGGATGTCTGGAAACCAGAAGATGATTGCAACCAATGAGATAAGAGGTAATGGACTAGGGTGAGGGTGGTGGGAGGTAGAAAAGCGGAAGGAATGAAGAGATATTTAGGAGGCAAATTCCAAAAGATTTAATAGGTGGGTGTGAGAGAGGAAGGGGCCCAGGGTGCCACCATTGTTTCTGTCTTGTACAACAGGGTGCTTCACCCAGATGGCGAGTTTAGGAAAGAACCAGGTGTGGGAAGAAGGTCATAAATTTGGTTTTGGACATGATGAGTTTGAGGTGTTTTTGAGACATCAAAGGGGTCATGTTAAGTAGAGAGTTGGACCCATGAGTGTAGGATTTGGTTGAGAGCATTCGGCTGGAAAGATAAATACAGGGGTTATCAATGCATAGGTGGTAAGTGAAGCCATGGATGCCCATGAGCTTGCCCAGAGAGAGTGTGGGAATGAAAGAAGGGGTTATAGGATCCAGCCTTAAGGAACATGAAGTCTTTTCTCACATTAGAAAAAGCAAATCATTCCACCCTTTATTCATACATCAAACACTAACCATGGATCGGTGACCTTTAGCCTAAATCCCAAAGCTCTTTGTGTCACCTAGGCTGAGTGACAGGGCTGCAGTCTTCCCATAGTTCCATCCTGCTTTCACCCCTGCAGGAGACCATTGTAAGTGACAGTTCTTATGTGCTTTTCCTAGTTCTAGGGAGAAACTTGTGGGAGTTTTGTATTTCTTTTGTCTAAAAGCCTCTGTGTCCAAGTTGAGATCATCCACTAAGTTGGGTTAGGGCCCAGTATGTTAAATTGTGTAGTTCTTTTTGGTTGCTTATGACTATGCTGTACACATGGCCTCTGTCCTCTTGTGGCTTCTCCCTTCCTTTGGAGCAGCAAAGCTCAACCTCCTGTCTGACTGTGGCTATGCATTCTCCTGAGCTGCAGCCCATAAGCTCTGCAGCTTTGCTATGCAGGGGTTCTCAGCTCCTGGGATCACCCCACTTCCCTCCAAGGTGAGTGATGAGAAGCTAGACTATCTTGGTTGCTGTCAGTATATTAACAAACCTCTTAGTACCCCAGGATGTGATGCCAGGATCTGTGGGGCTTGAACAGGAGTTTGCCTGGGGAGAGGGGTCTATATACAGCCCTCTGGAGAGGTAGAATTGTTTGTGAACCAATGGGGAGCCTTCATTCAGCTGTTGTGAATCTCAGCCCTGCCTGGAAAAGTCTAGGGTCAGCTGAGACCCCAGGACCACTTCCTGGTTGGACAATGACCTCTTCTTCTGCCAAACCACAGGGGCTTGGCTGGCCTTCCGAGCCAGCATCTCCAGCTGGCTTCAGGCCACACAGTGCCCTTGGAGATGGGAGGATGATTTGGAGCCAATTCCGAAGCAAACAGCCCAGCTTTTAGTCTCTCAGCCACAGTGTGGCTTCTGTATAAACTAATCATAGCTTGGAAAGGAGGAAAGAAGACAAACTCATTCTATAGAGTCCTGTGTGTGGAGCAAATAGGAGAGACCACAATGCAGGGGAAGATTCCCTAGAAGGCTCACCATAGCAGTCCCCAGGAGTGCACGGAACTTGATACTATGAACAGCATGGCAGTGTGAGGCAACATGGAACTGTGCTATGATGTTGTCTTGTGTGTTCATTCAACATTACCAAGCACCTACTATATATTAGCCTCCTTGCTTAGGCAACAGAAATACCAAGGCAACCAAGAGTTCTTCCAGGAGCAGGCATGGCCAAGGATAATGGGAATGTAATGTGGGCTATAGCAGAAGTGCACAGAGGACTGTAGCACACTAGAGAGGGCGAAGGCAAGTCTTCTCTGGGGATAGCTGGGTCTTGAATGATGGGGACGGGCAATTTCAAAAGGAAAGAAAGCATAGAAAAACAAAATCCTAATCATAGTGATGGCAGCCACTTTTTAAAAAAATTTAATTTTGAGATTGATAGTGTAGCCTCTAGTCCTGGCTCCATCCCTCTCTGTGACCTTAAAACAATTTTCTCAGTTTTCCCACCTCTGAACTGGATATACTAGTAATAGTATCTACCTCAAAGAGTGTTTGATTAAACGTTATTAAGCAATTACTACATTCCAGATCCTCCATGTACATACTTTTAATCCTTACAACAACCCTGAAAGTAGATTTATCCATTTTATAGAGGAGGAAAAGAGACACTCAGGTTGCTCATGCTCATATGGATTAAAAGGCTGGTGGGAGATTTGAACCCAGATTTGTCTGACATCTAAACTCATGGCCTTCTAGACCATGTCTAGGACAGGAATACTGGATGGAAGTAGAGTAACATCATAATGAGATAATGACACCTTTTTGACATGTCCTCTCTAGTTGGTTGGGGTATATCTTGGCAGACCTGCCTGACACCAAATTTGGCTCTTCACTGAAGTAATGGTTGTGAATTTTACTAAGAGACCATATTCAAAATTCTTCGTGAATGTGTTCCCCATAGGGCAGCTGGAAAACCTAAAGCAGGAATTAACACGGGAACCCCTACAAGTCAACAATAAAAAGGCAAACCAGCCAGTAAACAAGAGGGGAGGGTGCAAAAACATTTTAATAGACCTATCACTAAAGAAAATACATGAATGGTCAATAAACACGTGAGAAGATGCTCAACATCATTAGGTACCAGGGAAATGCAAATTAAAACCATAATGAAATACCACTACATACATTCCCACATGGCTAAAATGGAAAGAAAAAAAAATTAAGAACGAATGTTGACCAGAAACTCATACATTGTTGGTACAAGTATAAAATGATACGTTTTGGGGGAAGGTCTGGCAGTTCCTTATAAAATTAAACAAAAAGACTTGGGATGATGAACACACAATACAGTGTACAGATGATTTGTGGAATTGTGCACCTGAAACCTGTATAATTTTGTTAACCAGCATCACCCTAATAAATTGAATAAAAAAGAAAAAAAAATAAACTGTGAAATTAAAAAAAAAAGAAAATACTAGTTGCTATATTTGAAGTTCCAACAAGAGCAAAGATATTTTTCCTACAATTTTCTAGTACAAATTGCCATATTTTCAATAAACACTGTATAATATTTGTGATTTAGAATCAGATTCAAAACCTTATCTTTTGATGCAACAAGCAGTCGAGCTTTTTCTGGTACTCAGGACAAGCAAAGGAAGTTGGTACCGAGCTTCCTGGGCCAGAGAATGTCCGCCCAACATGCTCCTCCTGGAAACATCTTGAAAACAAAATGATTCCCAGATCCTCCCATTTCCCTTGGTTACGGCAGTCAGAGCCTGTTGGCTTAACTCCTGTGTGCTATTGGAGATACACCCCAAGCAGAAGAAAATAAACCCAGGGATCCTGATTTATTTGAATTTTAATAAAAGGTTGCAAAGGATTCTGAAAATTTTGCTACAAGATTCATTTCAGCTGAATGCACATTAGTCTTTCACTTGGGAGAGATTCTCTGTAAAGAGGCAGGGACAGCAAGAGAGAGGAGTTGGAGACCTGACTTTACTCTGCCAGGACCGACAGCCAGCTGTATGTTGACTGTGGTCATGCCATTTCACTACCCTCTCTTTAATTTTTATTTGATTGACTGATTTTAGTAGAGGAAGGGAGGGAGGGAAGCATGGGGGAGAGAGAAACAGAAGGGGGTTTGGGAGGGAGAGAGAAACATCAATTTGTTGGTCCACTTATTTATGCATTCATTGGTTGCTTCTTGTATGTGACCTGACAGGGGATTAAACCCCCAAACTTGGCATATTGAGTCAACACTCTAACCACCTGAGCTACTCAGCCAGGGCTCACTTACTCACTCTTAACTTAATTTCCTTAGCTGGATAATCGAGTATTCGTCATCTTTAATGTCTTTTCTAGTTCTAAACTAATATGACTTGGTGTTTATAACTGTGTGATTTGGCAGAAAGTTTGAATAGATCTGTTGCCCAAGAACAAACTGGCAAGAAAAAATAAATTAAACATACACCTAACCTATACTTTACTACTAAAAATTTACCCAAGGTAAATGATAAACGTGTCTACAAAGTAAATTGCACAGTGGTCTAGTTCATAATAACTACAAACTTGAAAGAGCTCAGGTGTCCATCAACAGGAGAATGGATAAACTATGGTATCCTATATAATAAAAGCCTAATATGCTAAGTGTCTGGTCCTCTGTTCAACCAAAGTGTAATATGCTAATGATATGCTAAGGCCCTCAACCACTCGCTATGATGTGCACTGACCACCAGGGGGCAGACACTCCAACCGGTAAGTTAGCTTGCTGCTGGGGTCCAGCTGATCAGGACTGAGTGAGATGGGCAGGGCATGCCCTGGAGCCCTCCCATGGTCCCTCCCCAGCTGGCCAACCTCCCGCGTCCCTCCCCAGCCCTGATTGTGCACTGGTGGGGTCCCTCTGCCTGGCCTGTACCCTCTCACAATCCAGGACCCCTCAGGGGATGTCTGAGAACTGGTTTCTGCCCGATCCTACAGGCCAGGCCAAGGGACCCCACTGGTACACAAATTCGTGCACTGGGCCTGTAGTATTCATATAATGCAATACTATACAGCAATAAAAAGAAACTGCTGATATAAAAACATGATTTCAAGGACACTATATATATTTATTTTTATTTATTTATTTATTTATTTATTTATTTCAGAGAGGAAAGGAGAAGAGAGAGAAACATCAATGATGAGAGAGAATCATTGATCGGTTGCCTCCTGCACACCCTCTACTGGGGATGGAGCCCGCAACCCAAGCATGTGCCCTTGACCTGAATCGAACTGGGGACCCTTCAGTCTGCAAGCTGATGCTCTATCTACTGAGCCAAACCAGCTAGGCCTCAAAAATATTCTTGCCATGAAAGAAGCCTTACACAAAAAAGTATACATACTAATTATTTCTAATTTATATGAAGCTCTGCAACAGATTAACTTATTCTATGAAGAAAAATCAGAACAGAGGTTGTCTCGAGGTGGGGAGGGTGAGAAATGATTGGCAAGGGGCGTTGGCTGACTTTCTCAGGCTTTAGGAATGTTCTGTATCTTAGAGTTTGGGTACACAGGTGAATAGTATTTGTTGGACTCAGTGACTTTTCCCTTCATAGTTGTGCATTTCATTGTCTGTAACTTTTACACTAAAAGAAAAATATAAACAAATATTGAACTCTAATGATAAGCATGCTGAAATATTTACTTACGTCTGCAATTTATGCATTAAAACATACTTTGAGCTGAGGGATTTATAGACCGATATGTGATAAACCAAGTATAGTAAAATGTTAATGGTGGAATCTAGAACAGGTGTTCATTCTTTCAATTTTGCCGTATGTTTGAAATTTTTCATAAGAAAAGGGCCAGTTATTTGGGGGTTTGCAGGAAAGCTCTGCCACCGGAGGAGCTGGCTAGTTCTAGGACAGAGCAAATGGAGACAGACCACTAGAAGCTGAGGGAAGCAGGAGCAAAGGCCTGTTACCTCGCGAAAGTAATTCATCTTTTTCAGTCAGTTTTCTCAACGACCACCGAGGCATTCGGTATTATTATGCACTTTCTCGTGGGTGGGGCTACGTCAAAGTCGGGGGATCCTCAATCCAGCGGCCAGCCACTCCACAGACCCAGCACCCTCCAGACCCTCCCAGCGCCCAGCCCACTTAAACGCGCCAGCCCTCAAGGGCCTAGCCTGCCCGTTGCTCTGGTAACCGCACTCCCGTTTCCGGGATGGTGCCGGAAGTCACTTCTCATACGCTCTTCCGATTGGAGACTGGTCTTTCGTGGGGGCGGGCGCTGTTGGGGGCGGAAGCAGCCGCAGGCATGGCGGCGGCAGTGCGGCTCCCGGTGCTGGTGCTGC